GGAGGTAGAGACACCAGTCAAGGTGTACAATTGCCATTTTTTATTTATGGGAGCAAGTTTAAAGGCTGTTTCCTTTTCCTTTTTGCATGATCTCTAAGCAACCCAAGATTAAATAATCCTTTGCTAGATTCAGATTGTGAATGCAATAGAACAAAATGACCTATATTAGACATCTGTAGCATGAGAAAAAAATTCTCTAATGCATTTTGTCTAATGCATAATTTGGTTTTGGATACCTTCCATTCATGGAAATGAAGATCAGAATGAAGCTGTCAGGATCTATCAGAACATATTTTGCAGAATTGTACTAAAAAAAGAAACCGTAATTCTTAAGTGATCAGGGGAAAATCTTTCAGAAATAGGGGGGCAAGGCTTCACTAGTATGATCCCTGCAGTGACAAGAATGTTATCAGAATTCTGCTGCCAGTTCCAGACATCAAAAATGAGGGCAAAATATCCAAAGGCATTTTGGAAATAGTTATTGAAAAGCTAAACTTCCAGAAAATTGGACTTGTAGTAGTAGATTAAACTTTGTTCAGTCTTTTTATTCAGGAAAAAATAGGAGATAGATTGATGACAATCAAAATGTGTCAGTCTCTTCTGAGATGGGCTGAAATCTGACCATGTTCATATATTTTATTGTGTTTTTACTTTTGAGCTGTAACAGCACTTGAGATACTTACAGCATACTATATATCAGTATGCACTAGAAAGTAATGTCTCCTGAATCGACCTTTCTGTCATGCAGTCAACTACAATTCAACTGTAATTTTGCCTTATAAATTCATTTTTAAGAGATCTTTAAGCAATTTGTGAGAACAGACTATAAAGGGCATTTTTAATGTAATTACACTGTGCAACAAGATTGTGTTATTTCTATCGCTGAAAGAAGTATTTTCTTATATTTGGGGTGATATTTCAGTAGAATCAGGAGAGTGTTGGCTGTTTAAGAATACTCTGATTCTTGATTTAAGTGGGGACAAGGAAAATGTTTAAGTTTTGGTTTGTTTGTTTTTGAAGTTCTCTGAAGATTACTATTATCCCTCATTTAAAGAACTGCTAAAAACTTGTAATCCAGCAATCAAGAATGTAAATCTAAGTACAAGATTGAGTTGGTGCTTCAGTGTATACACAAATTCATGTATTTTCTGAATCATCAAGCATAATTTAATCCCTCAGGGAAGTCATGCTTGACCAGTCATTTTGATGAATATGCAGAAATGCTGATAAAAATAAAAGAAATAACTGATTTTGATGTGGTAATGTTTTGGATGTTTATTTTTAGTTTGTTCTGGTCACAGTTTGCCAAGATTTACTGATTTTAGATCTTGGTGTGCATTAAAACTGCTTTTTCCTTAGCTTTAGATACTGGATTACTTCTATTCACACATTATATTTGCTGTAATCATTTTTCTTTTAAGAAATTGTTTTGGTTGTTAGCCAATACATAGAAATTTTAGGGATAACTTTTGCTAAGTGGGACATCAGTTCTTCATACATGCTTTTCTCCTTAAAGCTGTTTCTGCATTAATATTTTAGAACATTTTATTCATCTTGCACTCAGGAATGACCTTTGTCAGCTGTCACTGTCAACTAGGCATCGCTGCTCCTGACAGTTACTGTCAGCTCTGAAGAGATGTAAATCTCTATGCTATATTCCACAGGGCTGGAAAACTGAATCTCTCTTAACTGTGGAATACATTGTGGAATAAAAACAACCACCCAAGTACACGGCAAATACTATTTCTTCAGAAAATAACTTCCCCTTTCCCTTCTCCTTGCCCTTCCCCTTCCTTTTTTGAAAGACCACAGAGCACGTCCCACAGCCACAACTCTGTCTCCTTTTCCCTTGTACAGACATGCTTATTTATTAGGTTTCTGGCAAATTTCCTGCTGCCTCCAGCAGTGATAATTTGTTTGCTGTGTACAGCGCTGGGCACTCCTTCAGTTTGAAAGATCAATTTGAGGTGGTGATATTTCAAAATTTGGATCTCCATCTCATCTTCTGTCAGAGAGAAGGCCTGCTTGAACAGAGCTGCTTATCAATACCGGTCAGAAAAATAAAAAAATAAAAAAAATAAAAATAAAAACAAAACAAAACAAAGAAGACATTTTTACAAATTTAGTTCAGTATTTTTCCTATATATTTAAGTCTTTTTTTAAGTTTAAAGCATACTTCTTAGCAAATGTTTGACATAAATGAAAAATGTATATTTCCTTTCAATCATTTTTGACATCTCTCAAGTTTTCTGATTATTCTTAGACAACCCAGCTGTACTTCAGACTGCTTTTTCCTCTTGACATATATATATAAGCAATCTGAGAAAAAGAGGTAGAAAATAGGAACTGAAAATATATCAGCAGAGAAGCAACGATGCTACTTATAACAATGATTACTTTGGTAACTATGGTGCTGGCGATTTTTTCCTTGTTGAAAAAAAGCTACAATGCTGCAAAAGGCACATAACAAACAAAATTTAAAGTGGGGTAACTTCCAGGCTTGATTATAGCATTAGAAGAAATTCAGACTTTCTCTTATATTAGTTTGTAACAAAAAAAAAATAAAAAAAAAATCAATCAGTATTAAAAAAAAAAATAAAATTAAACTTAGAATCATTTAATAAAAATATCCAGATGATTCATAAAAGAAAATTTCAAGAAGTCACAGGACATATTCTTGTAGAATGTGTGGACAAGTTGTCCTCTAGGGATCATCTAGCCTAGCTGAATAGTCAATGGCCTTTGTATGACCAAAATGACAAACATTAGGTTGAAATTCTGAAACTGAAACTGAAATGTTTCCTGTACTGCATTTATTCTGTTTATTCAGCAGGCATTTCTGTCCTTAGCTCTGCCATATTTTTTCATGTTTAAAATAGTAAAACGAACATATATAAAATTTTCTCTATTGGTACAATGTTGACACCCTCGCTCATGGTGTAAATCTCTTCAAGAAAAAAGACACACTGAACCTGTTGAATGAAGGCATTGCTTTGTGATTAATAAATTTGATTGGATAGATTCCTTATGTCACCTTCAAAATTTGGGTTTATGCCTTGTAATGAATTTGTCTCTGGGTGTAGATACCTCACCGTTCTATAGTGGCTATTTTAAGTAAAACAGTTGTGGTGCATGAATCAATGTGCTGAAAGTGGGGATAATTGCGTGCCTGTGGTACTTAATGATGTGCCTTGTTTGGGTTAATATCTTTTGGGAAAGACCTGGAGGTTCAGAGTGCCTCTTTGAACTACGCAGCTTTGCTACAACATGTTCTTCTGTAAGGTGAACAGCAATTTGCTGTCTAGCACTGAGTTCAATATTTAGTGTGGTAAAGGTGACATCTGCAAAAATGATTTGATAGTTTCTTGTAGTGACATTGAAATTGAGCTCTGATTCAGGTATTGAATGTCCTTGATTTGTCTTTCTGCACTGCATTGGATTTTCTGTTGCAGACAAAGCCTGAAGAAATTGTAATACTTTGATAAAGCCATATGTCTGGCAGATATTGAATGAAATAAATGCACCCTCTTAGCCAGAGCCTGCACAATTTCTCATGCTAGGGGATTCTCTCCTGTTGCTAGTTTATTGGTCATTTTGTCATCGTGCTTAAGAAGCTATGAAATTAAGATTTCTGTGATAATGTAGGTAATGAAAGTCATAAAATGCATTTAACGCTATTACTTTAAAAATCAGTCGTTAGCAAGTTCATGTATTGAAAGATCTCTTGGTTTCTTGCTGTGATCCCCATGACTATTTCCAGGAATGCTAGACTGGTTTAGACAGCTTTTGAGGTAAACATTTCAGATGACTCTCTTTTTCTATCATTGAGTGTGCACCAGTTCTGCTGGTTAACCCAAGGCAACTGTCACTTGTTTTTCTTCCAGATCAGTTGAGGTGACTCATTTTCACCCATCTTTAAAAGGAGTTCAGAGCTTTGAAAAAGGCTTTCAGAATACTGAATCAAAAGAGAGAAATACATTTTGAAATATAGTATTATGTCTAAAATATTTTTCTATTCTAATCTAATCTAAAAATCTAATAAATTTTATTTACATGTGGTCTTTTGCGTCTTGGTGAAGGAATTGCAACACTTTTTTAAAACTAGGAAGCCACTTCTAGCTCCTGTGTCACTTTGGATGATAATGCTATTTTCTTTTTCTTATACAGAAACTGTTTTTCTACAGCAACTATATTTTTATGTTCAAATGCATTTCTTATATGCTCCAGTAATTTTTTTCAACTTCAACTTGCACAATTCAATTAGGATAATGGAATATTTTAATACCTTTTTTAGTAACCGTGGAAAAACATGGATGCATCCAATTAAACTATTTTTATCTGTTCTGCAGAGTTACTAACAAGCTGAAAACATTCTAGACCTTATATTATAGTCATATCTATAAAATATATCCCAACTGTTTCCTTCTTCTTGATATAAATGGTCTACATGCTTCAAAAGAAGTTACAATATTGCTTCTGAAAACAGATGGGGAATAATGTAACCCACATTAAGTCACATTGAATCTCCAGTAGATTAAAATGATTTAGAATATAAACCTTAAAATGTGAAGCTTAATGACTTCCTGCAATTTTATTATTGCATTTGTGGATGTTTACATAACTGTATATTTTCATATCTTTTATTTTTTTAATTCTGGAGTTCTACAGGTATTTCAGTTTTCCGCTTTTTCTTTTTACTGGATGCTCCCTTTGCATTGTGTCATAAAATATAAAGAAAGGGGCCCTAATTTTACTTTCTCTGCACTGCTTATCCTATGCTGTTCTATTATGTCTCCTTTGCTCATTTTGATCAGTGTTCTCTGATATTATCTCTTATTGAATGTATTTCTTTTAAAGAGATGGTGACTGGAACTGTGCAGACCAATCCATATAGGCCCTTACAATGGAACAGGATGATGGATAATGGTAGAACCTATTATATTGTCATCATAGCATCATTTCACTTTTTTAATATATATTTTTTTTCATTTCTATTGTAGCTATTTTGGAAAGATTTTCTACAATCATTCCCCAACTTAATTTTTGATCACGTTTCATCTGAAAGTCAAGAAGTTGAAATCTATGGCTGAATGCATCTCCCAGAATCGCCTGTTAGGTATGTTTTTCTTTTTTACAGTTTGCAAACATGTGATAAGATTAACATTGCATACGATTTAGAAGTTCTACTCTTGAAATGCGTATTGATGTACTTAAATTCTGTGTCAGAGTGGTTTTTTGGGAGAGCTGTGGTTCCACTGTGGTCTAGCTGCCTGTCTACTTCAGGGCTAACCAAAAGCTAAAGCATGTTCTCTGGGCATTATTCAAATGCCTCATTAACACCAACAGGCACAGGGCACCAACCATCTCACTAGGAAGCCTGTTCTATGAGCCCTCAGATTGTGCTTCCCTCTGAGCACTTCAGAGGTCCTTCATCCCTTTTTTGTATTTTGGAGCCCAGAACTGTACACAAAATACAAGGTGAGGCCAGATGCATGCTGAATATAGTGGGAGAATCAGCTCTTTTGACTGGATGTACCTAATGTGGTTTGCCCCGACTGCCAGGTTATAATGATGATTCTTATTGAGCCTGCAAAAATGACAGACTGGATGAAGGAGTTGAGTACCCTCAGTATGCTTGCAGGCACCAAATTGTCAGGTAGGAAGGCTCAGATGGATCTGGATAGGCTAGATCAATGGACTGAAGCCAATTGTATGAGTTTTAACAAGGCCAAGTATGTGATGCAACATTTTGGTTGCAGAAATCCTATTCATTAATACAGTCTTGGGGCAAGGTGGCTGGAAAGGTGCATGGAAGAAAAGGGTATGGGGGTGCTAGTTGACAGTCAGCTGAACACAAGCCTGCAGTGTGCTCAGCTAGCCAAGAGGCCAGTGACATCCTGACTCGCAGCAGAAATAGAGCAGCCAGCAGGAGCAGGGAGATGATTGTTCCTGTACTCAGGACTGGTGAGGATGCACCTTGACTGGTGTGTTCAGTTTTGGGCTCTTCACTAGAAGAAGGACATCAAGGTGCTGGAGCATGTCCAGAGAACAGCAGTGAAGCTGTGAAAGGTCTTGGAGCACAAGTCTTATGAGGAGTGGCTGAGGGAAATGGGATGGTGCAGTCTGGAGAAGAGGAGGCTCAGGGGAGGCTTTAGTGTGCTCTACAACCCTGTAGATGCAATATAGGTTGTGGTGAGGTGGGGGTCAGCATCTTCTCTCACGTAGCTAGCAGTTGGACTAGAGGGAATGGCCTCAAGTTGTGCCAAAGGAGATTCAGGTCGGATGTTAGGAAAAATTTATTCTCTGAAAGAATGGTGATTGCAACAGGATGCCCATGGGGGTGGGGGAAGGTGGGGGGGAGGAGAGGGTGTAGAGTAACCAGAAGTTTTCAAGAAGGATAGTTCTCAAGAAAAGGGTAGATGTCATACTGAGGGTTGTGGTCTAGAGCAGTCAAAAGCATGGGTTAATGTTTGGACTAGGTGATATTAGTGGTCTTTCCAAACTTAATGATTCTATGATTCTCTGAAACTTGTGTTTTGGAAAGATAACGTTTTGTATTAACAAGAGGTTTTATTGTAATTTGTTTCCAAAAATTGCAATATCTTCAGTGTCAGCATAGATACAACCTTAGTGGCAACTGAATGATAATCTGTAACTATACTTAATCATTTACTGAAAAAAAAGAGCATACTTTCACTTCAGCGTGCTTATGGTAGCTTGGAACATCCCACTGTTTATTTGTTCCATTTTAGATAGTCCTTATCTGAGAAAGGAGATGAGAAATATCTCCTTGTGGATTGCAGATTGCAGAGTACTTACTCCATAAGCAGATTGCAGAATACTTAATGAAGGATTCAAGGTATGAATTTATATTGCATACTTACTGGGATTATTTCAAGGTAGCAAAAACAATCAAATTGTTAGCAATGATTTAGGAAAAGAAAAGCTGTTCTTCTTTTGTGTTTATGACTTCAGAACAAATCATTGCTTTCCATCTTGAGGAGCTGGTAAGTAGATAAAACTTTTCACGACTGTAGGGTGCACTGATACTCTACTGATATGAAATATAAATATCTAGCATCTAACTCTGGATCTGCGTTGTCTATGCAAAGGCAAAGTCTGATTCAAATGGGATTAGCAGTGTGCATGAATTTAAGCATGTCCATAAATGTCTGCAAGGCTTTAGTTATTCAGTGCACTCATTATCTCAATTTGTTGTTTCGTGGAATTGTTCCAAGCATCTCATCTAATCAGATCCTCCTGCAGGCACAACATATGCTCACAATAACGTTAGCTATATATAGCTCCTTCCACAATTGTGGAGGATCAATGGAATGTTTTTATTGCCAGTGCATGTACGTGTCTGTGAATTATCCTTTAGGAATTACAATCCCTCGATGAGATTACAGTGTGAATCCTAGTGGTTATAAAGCTGATGGCAGAAGTGTAATTTCTTAGATAAAAGCATTATAATTAGATTTAGTGTATACAAATATACAGCAATGCAGTAGAAATACTATAAAATGGATGCAAGTTATATGATTTAGTTAAAAAGCAAGCTTGACACTATTGCTTGTATACCAGTTGCACATGCAACCCATAAATAAAGAAAAACAATGTCACTGTGCTGAATGAAAGTCAGGCAGATGTTCTTCATTGAAAATGTTTACCTCAGTAGTAAAGCATGTTTATTTCAGGCACCTAATGACTGACCTTTCATATTTAAGCTTGAAATGCAGATGGCAAATAGCCCAGATAATTCTGTTCTCAGTAATGCTGTTGTAAATCTGTTGTGTTACTGTATATTATGGAAAGTAGTGTACAATGTGACAAGAGGCTATGGCCCATTTCTGCTTTCTTTGTTGCTTTCATCTACAAAGGCATTCATAGGAATCAATGAAAGTATGTATAAAATATTACTTGAAAAGTGTAAGCATGTCAGAATTTGACTCTTTAGAGCCTGAAAGCATTTAATAGTATTTTGCATTTAATTTACCCATCCTATTTAAGTGATTGTCAACTATAGAACTGAGAAAATTTTAGTCTTGCTATACAGGTGATTGTAAAATGCCAATGTTAATATTACTAAATAACTTTACCTACTGAATGGATTCAGCATGAAGCAGTTGAAAATTAATTTGATAGCATATGGTTTAATCAATGTTACTATCTTTGTTTCTAGATACATAACTCCCTTTTGGCTATGCTATTCAATATATTATTTTGATAACAGTTGGAAAAACTGTGCTGTGAAACTGAGTATTAAACTTTTTTTTCCTTATGATCATATGCCACTTTTAAATTTCTATCAAAGCTCAGGATATCTAGATGGAAAAATTCAAATATTAGGACTTTCAAACAGCGGAGCAGGCAATTTCAGATGAACTTAAAGCATCCAAAATGCCAGGTGCAACATAAAGGATTGGAGGTGGGAGAAATTAGTGAGGTTTATGTTGGTCTTAAATCTGAACATCCTTTTTCGTTTAAATAATATGTGTGGTCTGCATGCATGCATATGCATACACTCACCTTACTGAAAAGACATTGATTAGATAATGGAGTCAGTATGTACTCTCCATTTTTTCAAGACAAAATTCAGGTAGATTTTCAACACTATTTCATTCAGGAAAAATACTATTCAAGATGTAACTTCCACTTGCTTCTTTATCTCTTCTGTGTTTCTTTGAGAGACCTCAAGGATCATCAAGTTCCAACTCCTCACAGGCCACAGGCAGGGCCATCAGCAATATGGAGAGGTATTAGTGTTACAGCTTACTATAAGCTAGCTTTGCTTGTCCTTTATTATGATCCTTCTTCTTGGTGAAAACTGAATAGATCAGCATGTCACACACGATCATTGGTTTGAAGGAATCTTTGCACCATAGGTTGTAAAAGTCCAGCTGAATGTATTACACTGTGTGTAATAGAGAGTGTCCCTACTGTCAAGGGTGTAGTAACATAGACATAGTAACAAGTATTTCATTTAAATGGAATGGTAGGCCATTTGTAGTATTGTATTTATTTGATATCTGTATCTGAGGTAGCAACACATATCACCTGAGTGAATGACTTGCCTTGGATTTGTTTACTGCCAAAAAATTAGGATCTGATTTGACTTGTTTGATACTGGTTTTTTTTTCTGACAAAGTACTGGAACTTTCTGGATGAGAACTGAGTTGTGTTGTCACTTACAGTCTTTTTAGTCTTCATGAAAACAGCAGTCTTCAGCTTTCATGTTTGCACTGAATTAAATTTTCTTGCATCAGTATTTCACATGATCATATGCTGCACTTTACTACTCCAGCATATGACCTGAATAAAATTAAATTTAATTTCACTTTTCCTATACATCCTTGTTGACCGTTTCACAGTGTTTTCTTCCACACTGGAGGACATCAGTGCTCTCAAATTGATGTTAAAAAGATTAAAAAAATCACTAAGTTCCATGGGTCTTCAAAGAGCTACCTCAATTACACATGCACTCTACTGCTTAGCTGGGTTTCTGTTATTTTAGAAAGAAAAATCTAACACTACTTACAAGTCTCTCATGCTGCTTAAATAGTATCTCTTCAGCTTCTAAGTTGTTGCATTTGTTGTCTGTATCGTCAAATAATTTCATTATAATTGGTGCAGAAAGTCTGTGAAAAGCATGGCACTGGGAATAAATATCTTTTTGTAGGGATGAGAAAGTGATTTTGTCTAACTGAAATAATCATTGTGGAAAAAGACATAAAACAAGGTGGTGAAACTAATGTGTTTGCCCCCTTCTTCTAATTTAAACCTGAGGCTGAGAGGTGTTACAGAACATAATACCAATTTGTGATGCTATTCATACTCTTATATTATGCAGTTTTTTAAAGCATTTGGCAACTTTTTGCTCAAGGTGTAATTTAACCTGAAAGAAAAAGGGAGAGAGAAGATTTGTGTTGTCATTGTGAAAACGCTCGTTAAGACATTTCTGCAATTGAATCTCAGCCACAGTTTTTGTAGATTATTGTAGGATAGGCTTCCCTCAAGTCCAGCTACTACTATTTCTTGAGTATGATACATTCTATTTTCCAAAAGCCTGTGCTGAATGATGTGCAATGATTGTGTGATCTCGTGATGGCTGGAAAG